CCTCCGACGCCGTACTTACAACGTGGACCCTCGGATGTCCCGACCGCTTCCCCAGGGCCAGGTTTTTCATCCCGAGTATGCTTATTGTTGCTGGGGCCCGTTATGCGCCCTTGGAGGCCGAATGTGGCCAAAAGCCTCCCGTCGTTCGTTTCCACGACACGAAAGGTTACTGGACATGCGTGTGCTGCGCGCACGCCCTGTCACACCGCCCGTCCCCCTGGCGGCGGCAGCGCAAAGAGAGCCGTGGGAGCTCGCCTCGAAGCTGGACTCCGGGTCAGAAACGCCTTCCACCACAGCGGAGAGGGAGGGAGGAGCGGAGTGGGACGATTCCGATCCAACGCAATGTGACCTCTGAGGCAGCTCGAAAGCACCAGCTTGCATTTGAAGAGTTTGGGTTTTCACATTAGCGCTTCGGGCAATCAGCCTGCGACCCCGCCGGGTGGAGTACTCTGGCTCGAAGCAGGAAAATCCGGCGAGGGAAAATCCGTGATGGCGGGAGGAAGACAAGGAGGAGGAGGAAGAGGAGAAAGAATATCGGAAGACTTCGGTTGACCACCTCACCAAGCCTGTTCCAGGATCGATGTAAACACCCTCCTGGCTTGAACAGGATGGTGTATGCACCGCTTCTGGACCCAGGCTGGGCCTGGCCAGGATCGACGCCGTGGTCAAGGCTGACGTCCTCCGAGAGGAGGGAGCTAACGGCAAAAGGTTTTTTCTCTCCTCGGCAACGAAAGCACAACAACGCGGGGACTCTTAAACGCGACCCAGGGGCGTAAAGCCCACCAAACACCTGGCGATGGCCGAGCGTCTAATGCACACAGTGGTGCCAGTCATCTAATCAAAAGTTCCGCTGAAGTGCGTTGCATGCTAAAGTTGCGCAAGTGAGCAAACGGTAAAAGGATAAGAGAGGAAGAAGGGGGGCCTTTCGTGAATACGCTCCATGTAGCTGGTTTCCTAAGTTCCTCCTGGCGCTGGGACCGAAAACGTATCGAGAAGGCTGCCAAGCGGCAAAGCCGAAACCAGCTGCATGCAGCTGACTTCGCATCCCCTTCTCCCCATTTTTGTCCTTTCGGCCGACCCGACAGAGGGAGGAGGAAAGGGAGGGGGAAGGGGAGGGGGAGGGAGGGAAGGAACAGAGGGGGAGGAGGCAAGCTAGGTGCGCGCGCGTCATATCTGACGTCCTACCCCTCCCTCCCATCCCTTACCATGGCGCTGATTTTCTCTATCCGCGGACTAATGGGTGGTGGTGCGCGTGCGTGCGTGCGTGCGTGTGTGCGTGGTTGTGGTGGTGGGTGGTGGGTGGTGCTGGTGCTGGTGCTGGTGCTGGTGCTGGTGCTGGTGCTGGTGCTGGTGCTGGTGCTGGTGCTGGTGCTGGTGCTGGTGCTGCTGCTGCTGCTGGTGCTGGTGCTGGTGCTGGTGCTGGTGCTGGTGCTGGTGCTGGTGCTGGTGCTGGTGCTGGTGCTGGTGCTGGTGCTGGTGGTGCTGCTGTGGTGCTGGTGGTGCTGGTGGTGCTGGTGGTGGTGGTGGTGGTGGTGGTGCTGGTGTTGGTGTTGGTGGTGGTGGTGGTGGTGGTGGTGGTGGTGGTGGTGGTGGTGGTGGTGGTGGTGGTGGTGGTGGTGGTGGTGGTGGTGGTGGTGGTGGTGGTGGTGGTGGGGTGTGTGTGTGTGTGCGTGTGTGCGCGTGTGCTGTGGCATGGCACGGGAAATGACGCCAGCGCTGCAGCGGGAGCACGAGTCGAAACGGGCGGAAGCGCGGAAATGAGGCCAGCGTTGCAGCGGGAGCACGATTCGGAACGAGCGGGGCCCGAAAATGAGGCCGGCGCCTCGGCGAGAGCAGCATTTTGAAAAAAAAACCAGCGAAAACCTGTTTCCCGGGAATCCTGTGTGTAAAAAAAAAATACACGGGGGGGTGTCGGATATCTTCGGGACGCCATCAGGGGAAGTGGGAGAGTATTTTCATATTGTGTAATTGTAGAGGGAGGGGAAGGAAGAGAGGGAGGGGGAGAGGGCAAGATAGGTGCGCTCCCGCCACCTCTGACATCCAGGGAGAGGCGAGAAATGGGGAGGGCCAAGGAGGGCAAGGGAGGAGGAGAGGGGGGAGGAGAGCGCACCACTTCGGACAGTGTTATACCATCTGGGAACCTAAGCTGCACGTGCTCAGCAGACCCGCCTCGCAAAGCGGGAGGCGCCGCATGCTAAGCACGGGCGCGGTTGCTAGCACCGGCGGCCCGTGGACAGGAGGCCACTCCGTCGCCGTCGCGACCGCTGCCTACAGCACTGACTGAAGCAAAAGCGCTGGCTGCGGCCCGCTCGGCGAGGCCGCCCCCGTCTCCGCGGCCGCCTATCCGACCCCTGACATCTGCTGCTGCTGAGAAGCCTCGTGGGTATGCTCGCTCTCCGACCAGCTGCATGGACGCTCCTCCGGAGCCCCTGGCTGCCTGGCCCTCAGATACCCCGGGCGGCCCCCCTTGCCGCCGGATCGTTCTTGCCGCCGAGCGAGGGCGCAGCCGCCATCGCCAGTGGCTTTCACATCATCATCGAAGTCTCCAAACGCTCCAAGTCGGCCTGCGGTTCGCCAGTTTGGCCGACGCACTTCTGGCCAAGCTAAGACGGGCCACGGAGGCGGCGATTCCTGAGATGAGCACGGCCTCTTTCGTCGAGACCCTCGCGGCTGTTCCTCGGCCGCGCACCTTAGCAGCCTTAGCACCTCGGCTCCACCGGCTGACCCCAACCCCTGGACCATTCTGAATAGCGACAGCTGGGCCCGAGGCCCCTCGTGGCCGTCGAAATCACATTGGCCCTCGGCCCCCGACGCCCCCGCTTCGCGGCCTGGCCCTGGAAAATACCATGGCCCTGGCACCCAGGCTTCACGCCTTGGTCTTGGAAAGTCTCCAAGCCCAGCCCAAGCCCCAGCACTCTGGCCCACTGCCCCAGCCCAGAACGCCCTACCGCCCCCCCGAGTGCCCGACCAGATACAGAAGAACAGGAGGCACCGAAGGGAGACGAGAAGAGCGCAATCCGTCGCGACGCCATCGTCGGACACCCCGGTGCCGAGCGGGATCCCAACTTGAACGAAGCAGGTCGCAGAATGGGATGGCGCTTGAAAGCCGATGCTGGCCCGCCTCCGCCGTCGTGGAATCGCATGACCGCGTGTGCGACACGGTAGCATAATCCTGGACGGGCTGGCTGGGTCGTCTCATCCGGCGCCCCGACGCATAGGAGGTCGCGAGGGAGGTCGAGCACGCTGCCAAGGAAACCGACGAAATTCACGCTCAGGACACGCGGCACGTCATCGGCCAGAACTGTCGCCGCAACTATGCCCAGGACCCCCGCCGAGCACAGGGCGGACGAAATCGCGTTGATGAAGCGAGCGGCGCCGCTCACCCCGCGAGCCGTGAGCGATCTTCCTGGGTCGACAGCTTGCCCCGATAGCGACACACCGAAGACCCTGCTCTGCCAGAGCGCGAGACTGGCGATTGAAGGATCAAGCCCCTACCAGGTCGCTGCACGCCCCGGGAACCACCAGGCCCTGAGCGGCGCACGAAATCGAGCAAGCGCCCCCCGAGCATAACTGCTCTGACGCCTCGTCCCAGGCAGCCCAGCTTCCGATGTCCGGCGGCGACTTCACCTCGGACACCCAACCGTCGAACGCGGCGACTTCACCGCGGACGCGCAGCCGTCGAACACGCAGCCTGACAGACCTCGGCGCCTGGCACCTCGACTACCAGGATCGCTCCGGTTTCCGAGGTCCTCCCTTCTCGGGGCACTCGCCAGCGGGCCTTCTGCTTAATTAAAGACACTGCAGCGGAACAGCTTCATGAGCCGCTCGGGCATCAGACGTTGGCCATGGCGACCGCCGCCTCGACCTCCGCGACCACGCCCTCGACCTCCGCCACGTCCTCCAACACGCCCAGCGGGATGAGGCCGCGGTGGACGGTCGTCAACGGCATCTGCCTTCCCACGGAATTACTCGCTGTACATGCACGCTCGAGCTTCTTAATATGTTTCCACGTGCGATTGATGTTGGTCGCAAGCGTGGTGAGCGCGCCCTAGATCGAATCCCCGTCCGCATCCAAGTCGTCGAGATCAGCGAGTAGGATTCAACGTCTTCATATGGATCCTCGTTGCCCTGGGTCGTTTTCATCGCAGAAGGCGCCCTCACGGTTGCCCCTACTGGCGCCCACCACCACCACACCGATCGAGAGGAGGAGGAGGAGGAGGAGGAGGAGGAGGAGGAGGAGGAAGAGGAGGAGGAGGAGGAGGAGGAGGAGGGGGAGGGAAAATATTGAGCACGCGAGGCCAGCTGACTGGACGAAATATCGTCGGCGGCCGCGGCCAGCATGCTCGAGCGACCGGGCAAGAGCCTCTCGGACCCCCCAGCGCCCATCTGCCGAAGTGCCCACATCGCACTACTGTAGTCGAACTGGCCCTTAGTCATCGCGCGAAAATTCCGTGCATCCCATGGGCGCTGAGGCCAACACCTTCTTCGAGTATCAGCCCTTTGAATTTGGAGGACATCGAGAGGTCGTTCCCCTCGGCATCTCCATCCTGGTGACGAACTACGCGAACGACTCCTTGGGCTCTCTAATGGCCTCGAAAAACACCTCCACACCTCATTACTTTCGCGCTCTTCTCCAATCATATCCATGCGGATATGGTCTAGGTCTGTCCAGTCGTCCCTCACCAGCCGATAATCTTGGATGTCCTCGAACTTCGCCTGGAAGCTCCACTCGAAGAGCTTCCGAAAGTTCTCTGCTCTGCCCTGCACCACGTGGGCACGCCAATGTTAAAAATCCATTGGCGATATACTTTCTTCCACTCTCTGTAAAGTTCCAATCTGGCCATGCTGGCGGATCACTGAATCGCCCTTCTCGCAGCTGCCGCTGCCTCCGGTCGACCAGCCACTCGCCACCCTGCTGAGTCGCTCCAGCTCTGGTCGCCTGTCTCCCAGCGGCTCGGCCAGGTGCTGTGAGCCATCCAGCAGTCCAAACTCTGCCACTGCTAGTCGTAGGCGAAGCCCAGCGACGACTTCCAGGGATCCCTGAAACCCACGCCGTCGTTCCTGTCATTCCCTACGTCTTCGCCCTTGCCCTTGCACTCGGCGACCCTGCCGTGCATCTTCTGTTCAGCAGCGTCCATGGTGCCGCTGGGCACCTTCTGGTAATCTGCACCTGTGGCGGCTCCTCCGTCGAGCTCCTCGGCTGCTGTAGCGCATCCCTCACGACAGCAGCAGTCAAGCACCTGAATTCGCCCCTCGTGACTGCAAGGTCGTCCGTCCCAGCAGATGCGCTGGCGCCCGAGGCACCAGCGATGACCGACATGGTGGTTCCCTTCTCGCCGTCGGTGTCAGACGGCATGACACCCGCCATTGATCCCTACACGCACTGAGCTGGCCGGGAGAGGCGTCCACCGGAGACACGCGAGCGCTGGCTGAGCGGGCCGTCTAGCAGCCAGCTGCTCCAGCTCCCATGGCTCTCCGATGACACCCCGCTCCGCTACCAACTGTGGGAACTCGAGTTGGCGAATGTTTTGCCTTGAGCCAGAACACGACGAGAACAGCACGATCAACTCACCCTGCTTGGCAGGGTTCATCAGATCCCCCTTTCTTGCTAAACCTATACGAGAAGATCGGGAAGTTGTCAACAAAAGTACACAAGATTCACACTCCCAAAACTGCAGTCCCTTGAAAGTTGCTCCTGATGCGCGCTCCCGAAACCACAATATACCACAATCCCCTGTAGATTACACCAAACTCGCGCCCCCCAAGTCACACCCCCGTGTATATTACTCCATCGTCGTGCCTCCCAAACGAAAATCCCTTGAAACTTATACAAGGTTCGTGCGCACGAGGCCACAACCCCTCGTAAATTGCAACAAAT